ATAGAAAAACTGCCGACTTTTCAGCTTAAATAAAGTAATGTATTAATGTGGGCTGTGCCACGCCCACAAAAGCAGGCGAATTCAATTGAAGCCTCAAGGTTGCAGTCTATAGAATTTGTATTTGTATTTGTATGTAGTCCCATTTGGCCCGGCAGACTTGGCCAATTTGCAACGCCGTCTGGTCGAGCTTTGCGTGCGCGTCCTTTTGGCCAGAAAACAAAAAAAAAACAAAAAAAAACGTTGATCGATGGCGGACAGAAATTATGGGCAAAGATATTGTGACACGCGAGTCCATTTTGTTCAGACAGTTTATGCCATTTGCATGGGAATTGGTAATTTTCATTTAAGTTTATTAACTAATTGCATTCGCACTCGCTAATGGAAAACCCGCTCGACAATGCCACATAAAATAGTTAATTTATTACGTGTCCCACACGGCGCATGCTTCATATTTAAATCAATGTCAACAAATTACGTGGAAAAAAACAATTAACAAAATGCCCAACGACATTGTCAATGTGTGAAAAAGGTTATTCAATGGGGCAGACGTTGCATGCGCCAGGCTGCAAGTGAGCTTCATATATGAATCAAAGCTGCAGCTGACAGCTGGCAGTTGGTAACTTTTCTCAATTAGCCAAAAGTTGGATACATAATTATTTAGTGGCCCCCAAGGAAAAGTGGCCTTCTTTACAGTAAAAACTTGACGAGACGAACTAACTCTTTAGCCGAGCAATTTATTTGGTAAGAATCTCTTCGACTTACTTTTGACCAAAGTCTGGTACAAAATGTTTAACTGGAAAGAACAAACTGGTTTCCTGATGATAAAAAATGTAATGAAAGCGATGCCTCCCGATGAAAAGATAAAAAGAAAAGAAAGCTTTATTACACTCAAATCTATACCCTTTCCCCCATTTTCCACGCTTGTCGGTGGAAAACGTAACAAAAATGATTTGTGAATCAGTTTGTGCCTCGAAATAACGCTTCGCTTTAGGCTTTATTTGTTAAGCCAATTTTCCTTATCCATTAACTTAGATGTCGTTTTGAACTTTAGTTGGTTTTTATAGAAGGAAATATCTCTTAGCCCATTTATTTTTATTTTATATGTCTATTTCAAAACAATTATCATGATACTTTGCCTAGTTCTCGCTTTCTGCTGCAGCCAGAACATAGGAACATGAATCGGAATCGGAATATTAATCATATATATATGCCATAGGAAAGATTGATGCTTGTATTAAAAAACCTATCTGTTTATCAAAAAAACTCAACCGAGCTTAGCAATTATGAGCTCTCACCTGCCTACGTCAATCTTTTCAACCTGTTGGCTGTAGTTATCTTTTTAGTGCACATATTTTTTTACAGTGTAAGCACTTTCATTAACTTGTTTGTTGCTTATTATATTGGCCAAAGTTATGGGCAGCTAATTAGCTGGCGGACAAAAGCGGCAGTTAGCTGGAAATGCTTTCAGGGCGAAAGCTTGAATAACTGTTGCTTGCTTGAAGGATATCCTGCCTATTCTGTTTGCCTTTCAATGCAGCATACACAGCCACACACACACACACAGAGACACGGACTCACATAATTGCGATACACTCTTTGTGTACCTTGCATAATCGCAAGAGCAAGCTACAAAGGCAAACACGGAAACAACTTGTTGCAACTACAGCAACAACAAGCACGTGTGTGTGTGTGTAGGTGTGTGTGTGTGTGCCTATGTCTGTTTGCTACAACAAAAGCGAGACGCAGGTGTTGAGTGTTGCGCTCAGCACACGTTATAAATAATTTATGTTGTTTGCAGAGCAGGTGTACAAAATTCATGCCACCTCGGACCTTGTGTTAAGAGCTGCTCCTTCAAAAATCCTTCAAAAACAAACTCAAAATACTTAAAATGTGTGCATCTAAATTAAAGCAAGAACATATCAATTTAAACTTTATGCTTATGCCAACATTAACAAACTTTGAGCGGGCCCAGTGCTTCTCTTAAAATTTTAAATATTTGTTTTTCACCCATTTTTCACTCATGGACAAGAAAGGAATTGCTAAACTCGCAGACATTTGGCGCTTAATTTTTAAATCTCATTCGCGCTGACATTTTAAACAATAAATTGTATTATATCAAACACAATTAATGGGAATACCTGGGCTCAGTTGACATTGAGTGGGAATGAAAACGATTCGAACTCCATCGGAAACAAGAATACCAAAACGAAAGCCATTTACAATCTATTCGAATTCACATTTCAAACCGAATAAGAATTTAGAAAAGGCCCGATTAGTATTAGTACAACAACAAAACTATAAGTTGTGACCATTGTAACTGGGAACCACAACTTTTAGACAAGGATGTGGATTTTGAACAATTTAAGTTTTTGACTTAAATCAGTAAAATCCGTTTCAAACCTCTTTGCTAACATATATTACAATTCCCTCCATATTCCACGCTTGTCGGTGGAAAGCTTAACTATAGCGTTTCTCTTGAAACGATGAATCACAAAACCAATCAAACAAATAAAAATAATACAAAGTTTCATCACTTACATCTATACCATTCCCTCCATATTCCACGCTTGTTAGTGGAAAGTGTAACTAAAGCATTTCGCTTGAAACGATGAATCACAAATCAACTTTTAGCCTTTTTTCTGACACCAATAGTTAATTAGTGTAAAGCTACTGGCACATTAGCTATCAGCCCTGACACGTTTACAGTGCAAGTCAAACAGCAAATCGTAATCAAATTAAATTTATTTAATTGCTTGCGCATTTTGCAAATAACAACTCGTTCATCATAAAGGACCCGCAGTAGGGCTTTTATCGATGAACAACAATGTCCATAAGCACTTTTACATATTGTAAATAAAACAAAGCGCTATTGTAACATGCACAAAACATATGTGTGTAACTATAGCGCAGAATAAAACAACAATGCCAAACAGAACAAACAAATGGCAACGCCGGATGCGAATGCGAATGCGAAAGTGAATGGGAATGTGAATGCGAATGCCCAAATGCGTGGGTGTATGTGTGGGGCGCGGGACGGGGCGCGGTAATTGAAATGCCGTTGCGCGCAGCGAGTACCGTTTCCGCTAAGCACAGGCAATCAGACATAGGCACGGCCAACACCAAACCGAAACAACCAACCAACCAACCCCCCCCCCCCCTCCTCCCTTACATCCAGCCAACGGCCCTCGATCTGCTCCAAAAGCAAATCAAACTCAAGGACAGCGGCCGCCACAATTTCAAACAATGTAACAAGGGACGCGTGCTATAGTCGAGCGTGCCCGACTAACTAAATACCCTTTTTCATACAAACAACAGTTAATTTTGGCAGCACCTGTGCTCTTCCTGAGCATCACACTATGCGAAATACAATCTTAAACAACTATATTTACTATCCGATAGATAAACATAAATAATTTAATAATAATAATAATATATATATATAAATAAAAACTTATCACAAGCTTGTAAGCGAGACGCCTTATACAAAACGTAAAGTCTGCAATATTAAACGGACGAACAGAGGAACAGATGGAGAGAAAGAAATAGCGGGATCGACCCAGCTGTATGTATGTATGATGTCGGCGATGCCACCCTTTTGCCTGTTCAATAAATATAAATCTGTAACTCTCATTGCTTCTGCAATGTCTTCAAACGGACGAACAGAGGAACAGACGGAGAGAATAAAATAGCGGGATCAACCCAGCTGTATGTATGTATGGTGTCGGAGCAGCCACCTTTTTGCCTGTTACATACATAAAAACAGCTGCAATATACCGCAATTTAACCGTTTTCAATGAGCAACGGACAGAACAGGCAACGCAATGTTAAAAGCGAAGCCTTTTCATTTTGCAATTTCTAAACAGCTGCCAATGCCTTTTTCCGGCTACCGTTGTTGCCATGACGTCCTGTTGCCGCGATAAGCCTTTGCCTTTTGTTTTAGCAGGACGCCACGAATTGATGCCGCACCACGCGGCGCCCTTTTAATGGACAGCCATTAGACGCAAGCCTTAACTTTAGCACACCATAAAAGCACACAAACAAAACGCAGTTACTTACGTGACGTGCATGCTGGGGATTAACGCATGCAGCTTGGATTAAAAGTCCCGTGGAACAATTTTCAAATATAAATTTTCACAAAAGAACGCAACACAAAAAAAAAAGCACTTCACTTTAAAAATGGCTGCGCTGGACTGATCTCTACAATCGAGTGGGCAGCTCGCATGCATGGTTGCCACTTATAAAACTAGCTTGTACCAACAACTACAACTAAGTGTACCATTTTTGATGAACGTGTACCATTTAAAGAGGTACAAAAGCAACGTTCTTAAATGTGGCAATTTAGGTTTAGGTTCGAAATGAAGAAATGTTTTTTTTTTTATTTTAAAATGTTTTTAATAGTTACCCAGAAACAATAAAAAGTATTAGTAGATAACTATCTATGTAAATATTGTATATGTACCATTGAATCAATAAGGTACGATTAGGTACACTTTTAGCTCATATGGCAACTGTGTGCAAGTGCCTTTAATAAGTGTTGAAAAATAACAGCTACTTAATATGGAATTGCTTGATGCAATAAATGCAAAGTGATTGGCAGAATATAAAAATATAATGTTTATAAAGGTATTTTTGAATAAAGTTTAGATAAAACTTTAACGCCGCGCAGGACGCTGTGCTTGTCGAGAATATATGCATATTTAAATAAAATTCCTTACATTTGTATAGCAAATTTGATGTGGCAGATGTCTGTACGCTATTAGTGAAGCTATTTCTGGATAAATTTATGCTTTGACTATATTATTTATATATTGTTGCTTTTATATTTGCGCATTGTTTTAAGTCTTAACAGCAAGAAACGCATGGTTGCACTGTAAAACCTAATCAAGCCATTGGCCGCAGCTGTTCAAGCTAGTGTTGATAAATAATTGTGCCCAACACTGCTCACAGCTGTTGCGCCTTAGCTCATCTCTAATATATATGTCTATCTCGCTCACGCACTTGTTGCTCCTTAGTCCGAAATTAGTTTTTATATATTTTATTTGCAATGCAACGATTTCTTAGTATATTTGGTGAACAGAAATGCAAAATTATTGGCATGATACATGTGGATGCGCTGCCAGGTAAGGCCGTGCGGAATGCAGCAGCAAACAAACGCATTTTCGCATTGATTTTAATTGAACAAAATACAAATATCAAGGCACGCCTCGCTATGCCGGCAATTGGCAACAGAGCATTGAGAAGGCCAAGCACGAAGCGGAGCTGTACAAGAAACACAAAGTGGTAGGCAAAATAAAGCAATAAATACTTATCAATGCATATAGTCTAATATCTACTTCCCCACAGGACGCTGTGATCATTGAGAATATGCACGATATACCCTATGTGCAGGATCGTCTGCTGGGCCCTGAGATTGTGTCCTGCATGACCCGACTGTCGCAGGCTGTGCGCAGCATCATGCCCCGCCAGACGCCCTGCGGCGTCCAGGTGGTTGCCTGCGGCAACAAACAGGCACTGGCCATAGCCAAGGCCTGTCAGCTGCAGTTCATACGCGCCGAGAGCTTCGTCTTTGGCCATGTGGCCGATGAGGGCTATACGGACGCGTGTGCCGGTGATCTGTTGCGCTATCGCAAGCACATCGATGCACAGGATGTCCTCGTCTTTACGGATATCAAAAAGAAGCACAGTTCGCATGCAATTACAGCGGATTGCAGCCTGCTGGAAACGGCGCAGGCCGCAGAATTCTTTCTGACCGACGGCATCATCGTTACGGGCGCGGCAACGGGCAAGGCGGCCAGTGAACAGGATGTGCAGGAGCTGTCGGGCAAGCTGAAGGTGCCGCTCATGATAGGCTCCGGCGTGACCAAGGAGAACATAAGTCAATATTACCCTGATGCACAGGCGGTCATCATAGGCTCGCACTTCAAGCACGATGGCAACTGGGAGCAGGACATCGACGAGCAGGCGCTGCAGAGCTTTATGCACAGGGTCTGTGCGCTGCGAGAGGCGACGTAAACGCAATCCATTTGTATTGTAAATGCTTTTATTGTGTATATAAATGAATTGAAATTGTGATATGGTATGTGGCATAAACTAATTCTAGAAGAGATTGGCAAAAAAGTCATAAATACGCTCGCGTAGCGAAGGAGCAGCTTTTGTGGCGCCTGCATTACTGCCGCTGCTGAAGCTGCTCGGGAATACGAATGGCTTCTGTTCGTACGCATCTAGCGTATCGTCAAACTTAACGCGCTTCTTCTGAGGCGCCGCATACAAATGTTCCTCCTGGCTGGATTTCAGCGTCATCTGGCCGGGCGTTGTCCAGCCGCCACTTTTCTGGCTGCCGCCACTGGAGCGCAGCGGGTAGAGCACATCACAAAAGTTGCCCTCGCCCAGCTCCGCATCAAACAGATCCTCGCGCTTAACGGCCGTGGGTATGGTATTGTCCACGTTATGCGCACGAAAATATGACTTGGAATCGGAGTAGCGACTGGCGAAGCCATAGCTGGGATCCGTATCCTGCGGCTGAGCTGGGTTCGGTTTGCTGCGCTTGAGTATGCCGCGCACATTGCCGGCCTTGTCGCCGCCGTTGGCAATCATTTTGTATAGCCTGGAAATGCGATTCTCCTTGCTGGAGGACAGCTGCTCCTCCGTATTGAGTGGACGACGCAGCTGCACTGCGGGCGGCGGCTGTGCTGGACGCTTGACAACCACCGACGAGATTGTTGTGGACACCTTGGACGGATTTGGTGCAGCGCTGGGAAACTTGCGCTTGCGCTGAAAGCAAATGGTTTGGTAGGCGCCTGACAAATCCGCCTCCTCCTCGGAATCGGTGCTGCGATTCTTGTTGCGAAACACAGTCTCGTAATCCTGTCAAATACAAAGTTTAGCTACAATTGGCACTGCTTGAGGATTGGCTACTCACGCATTTGCGCTTGTTGGGACTCAGTACATAATCGGCGCCAAATTTCTTCATGTCCTTCTTGCGTATGGGCGTCCGTTTGCTGGAGTCCTTGCGCAACGTTTTGCGACACTGCACATGCAGATCGATGGCATCGCGTATGAAGCCCACCCAAGTGCGCGCCACCTGCAGATCATCGCTGCCAAAGATGATGCCATCGCTCTGGCAGGTCAGCTTGAAATTGCCCGGCAACATCTCATAGACTTTGCATTTCTTGAGCGGAAAAATGCAGCAGCATTCGAGAGAGTTCTCCACCTGGGTATTGGGCGTGCGCTCCTTGATCACCTTGCAGTACATGAATATGTCCGACATGAGCACACAGTAGCGCTTGATCTGCTGTCCCTTGTGCGTAATCTTGTAGAGCATGCCCTCCTTGATGACCCGACGCGAGGGCTTCACAATGTTGGGCGTGCGATTGACGAGCGAGTTTTGTAGATGGATCAAATACTGTGTTATCTCCTGCTCCTCCACGCAGGAATTGATGTGCGAAGCCGTCGCCTCAATCTCCTTGACCGATTCTGTAAGACAAGGAAAAACAATGAGATCCTCTGCAGAAATTGCTCGCAAGGATTAGGAGCTTGCCCTTCAGCAGCTTGTAGTCCGCATCCGCGGGGCTTGTGTAGAGCAGCACCTGCTCCAACAGCAGCTTGTAGCGTGGCACACGCTGTATGGGCACAATCATGAGTGCGTTTAGCTTGCGCTGCACCTCCGGCCGGCTTTCGGTCTCCTCCAGAAATTTGCGAAAAACCGGATTCTTGCTAATCAAATCCTGCAATATGAACAAAGCGCCGCGATAATCAAACGCATACACGGAATATAGCTTGAAGAATGGGGCCATCTTGAGGAAGGCATGCGCCACATTCTCCATGTTGGCCTCCAGCTCGCGCAGGAACTCGCCATTCAAGTTGTGAATCATCTCGATCTGTCCAAATAGCGCCGTATGATTGGAGGCATCAATGATGGCCTGCTCCTTGAGCGGACGCACAAAGTAGGTCATCAGCAGCTCCAGCTGCTCCAAATAGGACTTCTCCGACGTGATGATCTCCTGCACGGCCTGCAGACGGAAGCCTATGCGTTTGCCCGCCTCCGGATTGGGTGAGCCGATGGGGCTGCTCGAGTTGCTGTCCAGCATAGAGCATACTGTCATGGAAACAATACAAATTAGCTAAAAACAAGCGAAGGCATCCAGCGAAGACATTTTAGTCCTGGCCACGCCCACCGCTTACCTTTCTTACGCGACTTGGCTGTCAGAAGGTTTCGCTCCTGCAAAACCTGACGTAGCTCACGGCTGAAGCTGAGCGGTGTGTGCGGCGAGCTGGCAACGCCTTGGGTGTGGCTCTTTTGTCTCGGCGTAAACATTTTCACTTAAATTTTCCGCAATGAAAAGTTAATGCAACGCGACGCCAACTGCAACACCTGCTGGCGGCTGTGTTTGAAAATTGCCATTCACTGAGAACGGCAACAAACGGACTTATCGCTATTTATGGTAATGCAACCCTGCGACAACAGTAGCCGCAGCTCTCTTTTGAGTCAAAGCGCCACAATAAGAACCAGCTATAAAAAAAAAACCAATGGGCGCTTGAATGAGCTGTGTTCATTTCGTTAGTTCCAGTTGACGCCACAAGTGGAACCACAACATCACTAAATGAACAACTTTTAACTGTTCGCACTTTGAAAAGAGCAACTGCAGCCATGGTTCGAGAGTGACTGCATCAACAATAATTATTTTTATACGTGTTCGTAGCCCAATTAATGTTTTAGACTTTTATTTGAATGTGCCACACACCATGCACGCCAAGCTGAGTGAACTGGAAAGGCGCATTGCGGAGCGCCTGAACGAAAAGATTGGCAAAGATGCCAATCAGCTGCATCGCGCCGCTTTGCTCGTGGACAGCTACAAGGAACGTTTACATACGCTGAGCCAAACCGTGAGTAGATACAAAGATTGGGTAAGGAGGCAGCGCAGCTAACTGCTTCACTATTCACAGCTGAACTATGAGGAGCCGCAGAACGTGTCCAGCTACAAGTCGGCGTTACAATGCCAGCAGCAGGTCTGCGAGAGCATTGACTTTGAGCTGGAGAAACTAAAGCAATTCAGTGCAAAACTGAAGCTCAAGCTGGAGGAATGCCAGCCGGCGCTGCTGGGCGTGGCCGAGGATCTGCAGCAGGTGCGTCAGCTGCAGAATGTGACGCAATATTTGCGCCTGGTGCAGGACATACAGGAGATCAGCGCCGCGCTGAGCGGCGCCATCAATGGCAAGGACGAGGCCAAGCTGGTCAACATCTATCTGACCCTCTACGAGGGCAACGACTGCGAGCACAGCGTCGTGGGTCGCCTGCAGGCCGTGCAGGCGCGCTCGCTCAAATCCTACGCCGAGGCCACGGCCATCTACTGGCACAAGCAGCTCATGCAGCGGCTCTCCAGCGAGTTCGAGGCTGTGCTCAAGTCCATGCGCTGGGCGCACCTGGAACAGCAGCCGCTAAATTATTCTCCCAGCCGGGACACTGCCAAGGCGCAACTCCTTGCCGAATATATGTTCCTTATCAAGTCGCCAGCGGAGGAGCATGCGCCGCTGCAGAGCATAACGCCCAGCATTGTTTGCCCGCCCATTAGCCAGGTGGTGAAGCTGCTGCTGGCGCCTTATCGGCAGCGTTTCATGTTCCATTTTACGGGCACACGGCAAACGAATCGATTGGACAAGCCCGAATGGTTCTACACACAGATACTCAACTGGGGCAAAGAAACGCATTTCTTTGTGGGCAAAACGTTTCAGCCGGCGGCCATGAAAGCCGGCAGGCTGGACTATAATCTCAGAGTAAGTTGGCTGTGGACCAAGATCTACCTGTACCGCATGCTAAATGACTTCCCATTGCAGCTGGAGTTCATGCGCGGCCTGGTGCAGCTGACCATTGAGAAGCTGGCGGCGGATATTGAACAAATTGCACAGGATGAGCATCTGTTTGCGCACCTGCTGGACGAAACGCTGGCCTTTGAGTCGGAGCTGCGTGAAACCTTCGGCTATCCGGCCAGCTTTCCCAGCGCCATCTCCGTGCTCACACAGCCCATGTACTTGCTGCGCTGGATCGCGCTGGAGGAGCAATGTAAGCGGGCATACAATAAAAGCTTAGAAATTAGACTCAACTTCTTGTTCTACCCAGTTTGTGGTCAGAAAATGGATCAGATACTGCAGGCGGAGACGCCATTTCAGCTGATCGATCCAAACACCTACGAGGATGACTTGAAGATACCCAAGTGTGCGGACCAATTTATGCGCCTGCTGGACGCCATCAAGGATCGGTATTATGCGCTCATCCAGCCCGGACATCAGCTGCAGTTTCTACAGCTGCAACTGGAGCTAATTGACAGCTTCCGGCGGCGTCTGGTGCAGCTGCACAGCAGCGGCGCCCTGGCCAGTCTGCCCGTGCTGAATGCCATCAACTATTTGATCATGGTGCTGCGCGAATGGGGTGAAAATGTGCATTATTTGCATTTGCATGCGGCGCTCGCCGGGCCGAATGCCAGCGAAATAAATTCCGTGTTTGAGCCGGCCGTTGCCGAGCTGGAGCACTGGGCCCGGCAGCTAATGAAGAATCTGGCCAACAAGGCGGTCAACGAGATGAAGGCCAAGTCGATGAACTATCGCCACGATGCGTGGCCGACCATGCCCGAGCAAAACAGTCGGGAGCCCTTCATACTCTCGCCCAGCGGCGGCGAAATGTTTCAGGTTTTGGTCACGCTGCTGCACAATCTGGAGCGTGAGCTGTCCGCCAATCTGTTCAATCAGACGCTGCGCCTGATGGCCCAGCAGATCGATGACTTTATGCTGGAGAACATGGTGTTGAACACCAAATTCTCGCCCGCAGGCGCCGCTCAATTCAACTACGACATGACGCTGCTCTTTGCGCTCTTCGGCCAATACACACGTCGGCCCGAGCTGCTCTTCAAGCGGTGAGTCACAACGCCTCGACTTTAGCTAAATATCATATTCATATTGTTTGTCATTCATTTAGAATACATGACGCTGGCAAATTGCTGACGGCGGCGCGGGGCACCGCTTTGTTGCTGCTCGAAACGCTGCGCGGCGGCCAAACGGCGGAGGAGAAGACGAAGCCGCTGCATGAACTGCGCGTGCTCGGTTTGGACAGCAGACAATGCATCGAGGTGCTCGAGCGACGCACAGACATTAAAATGTTTTGAAAATAAACGCAAACGTGGCAATCATTGTGATCGGATCGGCCTATTTGTATTGGCTCTTTCGGATTTGGGTCGCACTCCAAGAGACTTGCCATGCGGGCGCCCAGCTGTAGCTAGTTTTAAGAAATGGGCTATGTTTAACAATTGTACGCTCGCAGAGCGTATTATAATCGCGTATTATAACACCAAGTATATGCATTTTGTGAGCACTATCAATTGCTGGGTCGTCGCTTTGTTTCTCGGCAAACTCTGATTTGTAGACTATCTTTAAGAAACTTTCCATAGTTCAGCCTTATGTCCAACGGGTCCACTCTTGTTTTTCTGGAATACTGCATTACCGAGCAGGGCCTATAGAAAACCCCTCCTAAAATTGTAGCCCTACATCATATAGCTGCAATGGGAACATATTTTTTGAAAAGGGTTTACTTGAAGTACAGATATATTTGTAGCCTAGCCAATTTATAGCGCTCAGTATGATTCCAAGAAATGAGGAGGATTCTTCTTTAAGATTCTCTTACTATATCCGCCTGCTGCCATAGGAACAATTGGACTAGAACAAGGACTTTATAGACAAACTTCTTAAGGAAACTCAGCTAAATCCCATCTTGAGCCTGCCTTCAACATTAGTGGAACATGGACTATATTATTCTGGAGACAATCAACCGCGAATTCAGTTAACTGGACTTCATGTCAAAGATCCACAAGGCTATAAAATCTCATCCATATAATGCATATTATATTACCAACCCCTTATCAAAGCTTGCGAAAAATTCTAAAAAAAATTCTTTCTCGGAAAGCATCTGCTGCAAAACTTGTTAATTACGCAAGCTAAAAAAAAATGCATTAAAAATTCGAGTTTTCGAGGCTTTATTTCATTATGAATCTATATAAACATTGATTTAAAGACATTTAATGGAATATCAATGATTTATTGTTAAACATTTTGCTTAAACGCGAGTTTTTGCTTTCAATATTTAAAAGCCGTAAAACATTTACACGAACAAAATAAACATGCAGTAATTGTATTAATAATAAATTGCTCTAAAAATACATAGCATAAAATTAATATACATATATATATATGTGTGTAGGTGTGTGTGTGTGTGTTTGTAAACAATTCCAGTTAGTAAATACCAATTTTGCGACTCGACGGGCCGCTCATCACATTGTCTCAAAGATCTTTCACTTCATCTACTTCTCAGCCATAAGATAATCGTAAAAATTTGATAGGGCCCGCATGGAGCTCAATTTTCCAAATGGAATAACATTTAACGTGCTTGGGGTTGGGGGGGATTATTCAAAATTCTGATAGTTGGCCGAGTTGACAAAGATAGCACGCTGTGCCGGCGTCATGTTGAGATTGCCGCGATGCTTCTTATCGTAGGCCCAGATGACGCCGGTCGCAATCAGCGCTATGGTCAGCCAGCCCATGAAGAATAGCTGCACCCAGGTATGATCGCCGTCGCTGTGATCGGCTATGATGCCGGCGACAATTGTGATGACAGCCAGGCCGAGATTCTGTACGGACTGACAAAAGCCGTAGGCGGTGCCCAGCTGATATTCGGGTATGATGAGCGCAACGAGAGGCCACAAGCTGGCGGCCAGCATGGAATAGGAGAGGCCCATAATGGTCATGCCCACATACGGATTCAGCTGGGTGAACGTGAGCAGCGCATGTGCGCCAATTGTCGTAATCGTGGCATTCATCACCCAGGTCACATTGCGACCCAGCTTGTCGATGATGAAGCCAAAGATGGGCGAGGACACAGCCGCAATTAGATAGACCAGCGAGTCGACGGTGTTCGCCTGTGCGGCCGTATAGCCAAAGCGATCCATGAAGAACTTCTGGCCGAGCGCAATAAACGGAAAGATGGCCACATAGTAGGCCACACAGATCAGGGAGACCATCCAGAAGGGCGCCTTGAATGTGAAGACATCCGTCAGTTTGGGTATCTCGCCCGACGGATTATTGTTCCGCTGCATTATGCGCTCCGCCCGCTTATCCATCCAGCCGAGTATCAGAGCGCAGAGCAGCGACATGACGCAGGTGAGCGTGGCCAGCAGCAGGACGACGCCAAGGGCACGATAGCTCTCATAGAACTTGCTCACATAATCGTAGATGGGCTGCATTACCCAAAAGTTGACCGTGCTGCCGAAACGCGCCACCGACAGCTGCAGGCCGAACACCATGTTCAGCTCCTTGCCCTTGAACCAGAGCACCGCGTAGCTGTTCTGGGCGACGGCCAGTGACTCGGCGCCAATGCCAAAGATGAAGCGGCCGAGTATCATCAGCCAGAAGGTGTCGATAATGGCGCCGCTGGCAAAGATCAGCTGACCCACCAGCAGTATGAGCATATAGATAATCGTGCCCAGGCGTATGCCGAACAGGCGATCGATCAGAAATCCGCCCAGAAAGCACAAGACGACATTGGGCCACGAGTAGATGGAATAGATGAGCGTAAATTGGGTCGAGCTCAGGTCCAGATCCTTTTTGAAGACCGTCTGCAGTGCGCCGGGATTATCGTAGCAAAAGTACGAGCCAAAGCCGAGCAGGCACATAAAGACCAGCGCCTGGAACCGATGACAGGTGCTCGACGGCATACAACAGCCGCCCGTGGGCAGCGCCAGCTCATTGTCCTCGCGTCCGCGACTCGGGCCCGTCGCTGTGGTCTCCTCGGGCTGGGCCGACTCCTCGTTGTCCACAATGCGCTCTTCATCTTCGCGAGCCATGACCAAGCGGCTCACTAGACACACTTGCACTGAATGGATAAATAATGGCCGTCTGTGACCCGCAGCAAAAAGGGCGTTTATTTTCTTTTTTTATAATATATTGATATCGAATTTGTTTTCGTATTTCGCTGATTTCTGCAAAAGTAACAAAAATCCAAAATTATTTATATAACATCGATGTTTAAATACCCTATAACATTATTGTGCTCTAATCTTTTATTGCTATAGAAACTATTTCATAAAGTGCTCCGCTGCTGATTAGATTTTCTTTATATAGTAAAAGTTGCTGCTGTACCAGAATATAAGTATATAAGCACTTGGAGTCCCTTACGTTACACACTGCATAACAGAATTCAAATACCCTTACACCAGGGTATACAACTACAGTTGTATCTGGTGCCACACACACACACACATACACGCAACATACAACATTGCAATTGCGCATATGTGTGCGTGTTTTTCTTTCAACTCTTTTGCTTTGTCTGCTTTACTTGTTATCTCATTCGTTATATTGTTTACTGTACTCTGTACTCTTTGTCTATCGTTTCGAGATGCTGTTTCGCCTGCGTAGTAGTTTACGCATTAGTTTTTGTTACATTGCCTTATCAAAGATTTCACAGTTCACTTACAGCGTGTGTGTTTTTGTATTTTTCTATTACACACGACTCACTTGCACGGCACCACAGCTGCCGTTGTAGCACCTGAACTTTATTAGCGTTCAAATAAAACTAAATGCGATTTTGATTTCTCTCCTACGCTTTGCGCTAATTAACGTTAATTACTCATTCCATAACGTAATCGTTACCAGTGCGGGTATTTTTAGGTAACAGCCAGGGTTGCAGGAAACATATTTCTTAAATAAGTACCACTTATGGAAATCAATGGTTTTATTAAGTAAAAAAATTAGTAAAACAAAGCAAAATACTTAGCGCATAAACTTTAGTAGTAGTTGTCAGCTTTGTAAGTTATAAAAACTAGTATTGAGCTTGTGATTCCAAGTTTGTGTTTGTGCAGCCCTGGTCAGCTAGAGTTTCATCATTTGACTGTTGTTTAGATGTTTATTGTCGCACAAGAAATGTATTTAATTATATAATCGCGATATAGAGAGACAGCTGGGCAGCACGGTAATGGCATCAATTGATACAAGCAAGCGTAAACCCAGACGCACACACGGCACACCGTCATTTACATATCGTAATCGTTTTGCCTACGCTCTACTTGCCGCCGGTTCGGTGCTTTTCGGGATTTGGAGGTGAGTTCGGGTGAAGGGAGCTCTGCGTCATTGTTGATCAACAATTGAATCCATTTGTCTAGCCTGACGCCCATGCAACGCATTGCCAACGAGCGGTTGTGCAAGGACCTGCTGACAGTCACCGAGCAGGAAAAAGATCGCCACGCATTGTTCGACTTCTCTGCGCCGCGGCCCGCAAAGTTCATCCGAGAAGCCATTGAGGAGGGCGAGAAATTGCGCACGGAACGCTAAAAAGCTACAACAACAAAAATGGACAGACAAACACGCCGTGCAAACTTTAAGAAACTACAAGAACCCGCGAACACAAAGCTGCGGTAGGAGCTTCACTTAGTTGTGTTTTAGTTATTAACTAATAAAATGTTCGACTTTTACTAAAACTCTCGTTTATTTTACCACTTAAAGCTCCACGCGCAGCAGCAAGGCCACAGCGCCCATGACGCTCTCCGAATATTTCAATACCCAGGAGAGTTCCAGCAGTTCCGCAGCTGCTGAGCCGGAGAATCTCTTGGCGGAGCCTAGGAGCAAAAAAGCACGCGACGTTGAGCCCAGCAAAGATGTGGTCAAGCCCAAAAAGGCGCCCAAGCTAAAGGCCAGTGCACCTCAGCGACGGGCACGCGGCGGACGTGGCAAGAAGCAGCCCAGCATTAGCGACTTTCTGCGGAACGAGCAGCTCTTTGCGGAGGTCACGGCGCAGCATTGCATGGCGGATAACTTTAGTCCCGATGACATTGAAATGGCGCTGGTGTTGTCCAAATCGGAGGCAGAGAAACATGGCCGATTGCGGCTGGAAGACACAGAGGACGAGCGCGAGGAAGTGCTCGATTTGCTCGATGACAAAGCGAATCAGTCCACGGAGAATGTACGCCGTAAGCTGCAAAAGTACGGCTTTCGCACAGCTGCCAAGGAGGGTGAGTCCAAGTGGAGCAGCCCTTCGATAGTCTCTAATTTGTCAGCTCTTCCAGATTACAACCTGTTCTCCATTGCTGCGTTGCCTGGTGCGCCGGGCAAGCGCGGCAAACGCTGCAAATGGGCCAATAAATTTACGCCGCTCACCTTACGCAATCCGGAGGCGCAGCAGAAAAAGCTGCAGACCAAGGTAGCTGCTCTGATGGCGCAACAGGTGCGCACCAAGCTGCCAAGCGCTGAGCAGCAGCCGCCTTTCGAATTGATCAGCGAACGTCTGCTGCAATTGGCAGCTTCCGCTGAGCGCCGCATCACGCACGAGCCCAGCGCCGAACCTCTAACAAACTTGAGCGCATATTATGTGCAGGATTTGTTTGAAGTTAGTCGCACGCCGGCGCATCACTTGCTGAAGAGCTGGTCGGCCATACAGGGACGCGATCTGTCGCCCAAGCGACCCAGCGCAGCGAGTCAGCGCCGGCAGCAGCAATTGCAGCAGGTCTACGCAGAGCTGGAGGCGCATTTTGGTGCTAGTGCAGTGGAGGAGGAGTTGGATGAGCTGGAAAAGCTGGTGGCCGATAATATGATACAGGATGTTAGTCAAGTGCTGGCTGAAAATCTTGTGCAGCAAGCTAACCAAATGGCAGATGACAACATCCAATTGCCAGTTGATCAAGTGCAAATCTCATTAAACAGCGATTCGCCGCTGAAAGAGCCGCCCGACAAGCGTGCCAGAATGATGCCGAAACAGAGCGAGGAGAACCTTCAACCCAGTACCTCGGCTATGCTCAGTCTACCCACGCAAAGCACACGCTGCATTTCACCCGATCTCTTTGCGGATTCAGATGATGATGAGCCGGCGAGTGAAACGCCTGCCACATGTAGCACGGCGGCTGCTCTTGAGATGCAAAACTTTTCCTTAAAGGTCTATAGGAACATAAGCTCGTGCGAGATGAACAGCTATGAGGTGTACTCCAGCGATGAAGGTAAAGAAAAACAAGAACAATAACATCTATCTTTGGGTTTGCCGAAGCTTATTGGGCAAAGACTTTACTAGATATAAGAAAATTATTAATAACTGACTAAAAAAAGAGAATTTCTTGCTTTTAGTGAAGATTGTCCACGATGTTAAAGCGGAGCGCAGAAGTCTTCAAGGTGAGCATTTTCTCGATTATTTCTTAAAGTGCACAAAATATCCTTTATGCCCTTTCTAGCACCTGCTCAAGCAAGCTTTATAGACCTGACCGAAGAGCAGGATTCACCCGAAATCACATCAAGTAAATCCCTTTTCGAGCAGCACATCTTTCCGCAGAGTCCGGGCATAGATTTTGATGAAGATATCGATGTATTGCAGCAGGACTTAAGCGGCCAGGCGGCGGATTGTGAAATTTCGGAGGAACTATATGCGAAGTACGCCTATCAAACAGCTCGGGATAAGGCAGTCCTTGAACGCACTCAGTTCCAGCTGGACAACGAGTGCCTTAACGTGAGCAGAAATGACTCCGCCAAAGCAAATCCCACCTCATCTTCCAACATGGCCACAACTTCACATGCTTTCAAGGACTCAATACTCAGCTTTAGCCAATTGGACAGCACACGAGATGCATTCCAGCGCAGCTGGAGCTTAACACAGTCGCCCGAACAGGCCGCTCAGCTGGAGCAGAGTTTCAAGAGTCCGCTGAGCCGGCGAAGCAAGTCCTTTGCAGATAAATCTGTCTTAACCCTTAGTCACTCGGATGCGAGCATTGATTTGACCCAAGACAGCGGCGATGAGGATAACGAGGAGGATAATGTTCTGCTCTCCGATGAGGAAATCAATTATTCCATTTGGAAGGCGGACAAAACGTATCGGGAGGCACTCGATGATAGCAACAGTTTGCCTCTAACTAGAATCAAAAGCGTGCCGTTCTTTAAGACTGTGGAGGATTTGGATGCATATCTGGATGCTTCACCCACGCCCTCAAGCAAATCCTGCAATTCGCGCTCGCCTAACAAAAGTGCTCTGAGCAAAGAACGCGCCGAGTTTGGCATACTGGATGCAGCCATCTCGCAGCCCTTTACGCTCTCTCAGCTGCAGAGTTCGCCGGACAAGGCGTGCCAAGTGCCAATAGACTGGACGGATGCATCCTTTTTGGAGACCCCGCCGGAGGTGCCAATAAAACGCTACTCCAGCAGCTGCGCCCATAAATTCAAAGAGCTGCTCAACGATATTTCGGAGCCAGCTGACGAACTGGATGACTTTGATCGTCTGGTGTTCCAGAACAGCAGCAAAGATGCAACAATAGACACAATGCCAAGTGGACTGGATCAACTGCTGCTGGGCGAGATCAATGCCGAGAGCTTGCCACAGTCTGCCGCAGCTGTGGAGCCGCCTAGTCCGGCTAAGGCAGCAACTTCCTGGGAGCAATTGGAGCTCAATGGTCAGGTGTACGAGGTGCGCGTCTGTCGCACACCCAAACCGGATTTTGTGCATCTAAGCGATGCGGAGCTGCTGCAGCAGCTGTACAATTGTGGCATCAAGCCGCTTAAACGCAAACAAGCTGTCAAATTGCTGGAATACATTTATAATCAAACGCATCCCATTATGCTGCCGCCAGCGCAACCGGAGCCCGAGCCAGTGACCATGCCGCGCTCTAAATCCACGCCCATCACTGCCGGCACTGGCAAATCCCACAACGGGCGGCTGCGACTCGCCAGCAGCGACGAAGCGGAGCCAAAAGCGGCTCTCCAATTTCGAGACGCCGCCGGAGCGCAGCTGCTGCGCTTCTCGCAAGATGCGCCGCCGGCGCTATGCGACGACTTCGAGTGCTTTGTGCTGCAGACAAATGTCTCGAAGAAGACGCCACAGCCGTTGCTGCCGCTGCACATAGCCTGGCACAATTTGCTCTGTGCCAATCCCGAGCTGCACGAGCGTGTGCTCCATTTCGAGCCCATCGATCTGCAGGAGATCTATCTGCATCTTAAGCAGCTGGGCCAGCGCTATGAGCCCAAGGAACTCAAGAGTTTCTTCGACAGACGCTGCATAATCTTCCGTTACGAGCTGGCGCCGCCCCAGAAACAGGCCCAGCGGCACATCCGGAAGCCCAAGTCCAGAAGGCCCTACGCAAGGCCCTAGACGACGTATTTGTACCCTACGCTTTTTTTTAAGATTTGTAAAATATGGGAATGTTTGATTGATTCTTGAGTGCTCCATTTATTAGATACTCTGCTGTAATTTTTTCCTTATACATTTTGTACATGTTATTTGGGCTTTATTTTATGCCCTTTGTAATTATGAAACGATTAAATTTTTTCTATACATTTTGTACAATTTGAAATATACGTAAATTTGTTTGCTGCAACTTAAAAATGAATGTCGCCAATTAACCCGTCGATGGCCAACTCCAAAATGTGATCTACATTCGGCGAGGGTATCAGCTCGTCCATCATAACTAATTCATTTTTGGTATATTTGTCGATGTTGACAAAACGCGGCTTAACCGGTTGCTTTCTTTTCAAAAATTCTTCACATTTTTCTGCAATTTTCTCAGTTAACTCCAGATCCAGATCTAGATCTGTTATGGGATCCGTCAGGAACTGGTAGCACGTTAGAAATGTTTCGAGGACATCCATTTTATGAACAATACGTAAGCTGAAAACTTGAAATTTTTTTGAAATTATTCTCGAAGCTGTTCAGAAGTTACTAAAGCACTATAAAATATGTCAAAGTTCTAACTGAAAAAAAAAATATTAAAGTATATATGTCGGCTTTCAAAATGAAAGATACGCTACAAAACTATGGACAACATGGGTTAATGGAACGGTTTTTGAACGTTGCGAATTCAAATATATTTCTAAAGCTGTTATTTGTCCGCTCTTAAAAGACGACTATCACTCTGATGACGTAGCTACCTTAGCGAAATTTGTTTTTAGGCTATTCCACATTTATCAAGCATTCAAATTTTTACCAAAAAAATAAAACATGTTTATATCAACAATATCTCAAGCCGATCGTTGTTAGCAGTGCCATTTGAAGGAGTTATCGATTGTCGGTTATGCTATAAATATCGCAGCATCGCTATAACGATATATCGATATGGTGTTCACATCTCTAGCTGAAATCGTGAGCAATTTTTTTTTTGTTGTTTCAACACAAAATCTGAAGCAAAGCCTACCTAAATCTACGTGCAATCACAATAACAATAACAACAAGTGTCTGCCCAGTGATAAAAATAGCCAATAATAATTAATTTTACAAACGGCCAAGTGCAGCGTGTGTTGTGGTGCGTACCAGACGAGCTGAGTGTGAGTGCATAATTTACAGTTGGCCTTCCGCTGCGCAACAACAAAGGCATCGTGAACGACAACGACCCACACGCTTACGCACACGCACACACACAGGCGCAAACACGCGTACACAAACAGACGTCATATACATACATATACATATACATATGCATATATGCGCATAGATTGCGATACCTGCGATTGTGGTTTTTGGTGACCAATTAACAAGTAATACGTTCGCTTCCACACACCCGCGCGCGAAAACTAACAACAATTTCAAATGGGCCTGTTATTGTCACGGCTGTGGCGTATGTTTGGCAACGAGGAGCACAAACTGGTAATGGTTGGCCTCGACAATGCGGGCAAAACAACAATACTGTACCAGTTTCTGATGAACGAAGTGGTCCATACCAGTCCAACGATTGGCTCCAACGTTGAGGAGGTCGTCTGGCGGAATATACACTTTCTGGTATGGGATCTGGGCGGGCAGCAGAGTTTGCGCGCCGCCTGGAGCACATACTATACCAACACAGAGCTGGTCATTATGGTCATCGATTCGACGGATCGGGAACGTTTGGCCGTCACACGAGAGGAGCTCTATCGCATGCTACAGCACGAGGACCTGAGCAAAGCCAGCCTGCTGGTCTATGCCAACAAGCAGGACCTGAAGGGTGCAATGTCTGCCGCAGAAATCTCCCGCCAACTGGATCTGACCTCCATCAAGAAGCATCAGTGGCACATCCAGGCGTGCTGTGCGCTGACGGGCGAGGGCTTGTATCAGGGACTCGAATGGGTTGCGCAGCGCATTAAGAACAAATGACAGACACACACACGGACGCCGCTAGTATATAGTTAATTAATTTAGACAAATGAATCAATTTTGATATAATTGTAAAATGTAAAGACATCATATATATACATATATATATATCTAATTATACGAACGAAATCTGTAAGCGTTGAGAATGTTGAGAAAGCCAAGCCAATGTTTTTTACAGTGCTTTAGTTTAAAGACTCCTTTGTTTACACACACACACACACACACACACAGATTTATGTCGAAAGTCCTCAGTAAAATATTAAATATATGTTGGTTAATATGTGTGTACTAAGATAATGCTAATGTTAAGATCTAAGCAGCCAATTAATTACTTCCATTATAAATTTATAAAATAAACAAGTTTATTTCCAAAAATTGTTTCGTTAAACATACAGAATTGGACGTATTTTTACTGTTACGAACTGAACATGAATGCATATTGTAATTGACGTTGTTAATTCGTTTTTTGCATTTGATGTGTGAGATTGTTTTGTACTCTAGCCACCAAAATAAATACATATATATATATAAATATGAATATGAATGTGAATGTTTGTATGCATGTTAAATGAATAAATTAAGTTTGCACACAAAACAATTAACAGTTTCACGATTAAAATATATAAATACTAAATTATAGCCACACGAAAATATGATCACAAAATAAAAGTGAAAAAAAGAAAAACGGAAACCCAAATCGTTTGGAGATATCTATGTGAGATTGCACGAGCTGCTGCAACTCTTGAGCGGCTTACTCTGGCCCAGCTGCACGGTGTTGTCGTCCAGGTCCGCCTGCACGCTGCTGACATCGTGTTGGTGCTGCCAAAGTAGAACAATTAAAACGTTAATAAAACGGACATGGATTAGTGTGCAGCAGACCTTCAGTTCGGTGGCCAGACAGCGAAAGGCGTCCTCCACATTGGTGTTCTCCTTGGCGGATGTTTCCATGACGAACAGAATTTCAGGTATATATTGACACATTTGGCGCGCCTCCTCAAAGTCCACCTCACGCTCCGCCTCGAGATCACATTTGTTGCCAATCAATATGATCAGCACATTGGATGCCGTATATCTGCGCACCTCCTCAATCCATTTCTGTAAATTGGCGAATGTCGATCGCTTTGTGATATCGTAAACTGTTGTAAAGACAAGCACATTATTAGCAAGCATTCTGATAAGAGTGCGCGGCGAATGTGCCACGGAATGGCTATTAAAATCACAGCGCCGGCGGCGTCGCCTTATCGCCAACGGGCCATGGCAATTGGCGCGCGGGTCATGATAACGACTCACCAATTATGACGCCGTTGTTGGCACGATAGTAGCTCTGGGTGATGGTGCGAAAGCGCTCCTGGCCGGCAGTATCCCAGATTTGTAGCTACAACGAATCAAATGCGTTCAACTCAATCTGTGTGTGTGTGACATTGGCAATTTACCTTGACTTGTTTGCCCTCGACCTCAATGGTTTTCATTGAGAAATCGACGCCAATTGTGTTCCCGTGCCGCTCCACATAGTTGCCCGTCTTGAAGCGCTGCAATATGGATGTTTTGCCCGTGCAACAGTCACCGATTAGCACGATCTTGAACAGAAAATCGAAATTCTCCTCGCTGGGCAGCGCCATCAATGTTTGGGGATTGCGCGCCGTCATTCTGTCCAGACACGAGGCGTTGCGGCTCCTTCAGTGTCTGCTGGTTGGGGCTGTTGTGCAATTAGTTATTGTTTGGCATGGAAAATGTACAATTTTCTGTTTTAATTGGTTGATAGTAAGGAAAATGCGTTGCACAAAGACTGTGTTGTTATGCCCTGTCAACATTGCTGCAGTGGGTATATCGTTTCGTTGGAATTCGGGTAAGTTGCAAAATGCTGGCGTCCTAAATGCCCAAATATTTGCTATTAATATATTAAGTTATCACTTTATTTGCATATTTTTCACAGTTGCAGACAACTTTAATGTTTAATTTAGCTATATTTAACATTTTGTTTGCTGTTATATGCATTGCAGGGTATTTTAATTTTCGGAACTGTGTTTATGCCTGTTTCGCTGCTTGCAGGTGTGTGCTAGTTGGTGACATTATGCAGTACTGCCCAGACAGCATTTGGCAACACTGTTTTTGCCTAGGCGCGCTTTTATTTAAATTTTGAATGCAATTAATTGCAAATGCTTTGAATAAAAGTTAATTGGCATGAACTAATGTCCGGCATAAGCCGTATAGCATATTGCGATTATCGTTGGTTCGCCCAGCAAATATTTATTCATTTGTATAGCGTTATCTTTTTGGTTTAGTTAATGCATCTACTGATAAGATATTACACTAGTAATGAGATAGTCTTCAATTGCGTGTAGCTAAAGATATATACAAGTTTTATTTAAGTGGAATTGCACAGTATATACTTTAATTGTTTATTAAATGAGTGTTGCAGCTGGGTTTCGAATGACTTACTAGTTGAGTGTACATAGGCAACAATTTTGTTTATTTCAATTAATTTACTGACTGCGGCTTGAAAAGCTCTCTCATAGTACATAGCGCCCTATGGACGGCCCGAGAGCTCTATAAAAAGCTCGACCGGCATATATGAAGCCCCAAAAGTTGCACTGCCTCAAACAGTAGCCGGCAACGCCCCGATTGCAATTGTTGATTGTTTTGTGTGCTCTCAATTGTTGTCTCGCCATGTCGAATATAGTGCTCTATGGCATTGACATTAGTCCTCCAGTGCGTGCCTGTTTGCTGACACTTCGGGCCCTGGACTTGCCCTATGAGTACAAGAATGTTGATCTACTTGCTGGCGAGCATAAGACTGAGGAGTTTCTGAAGAAGAATCCGCAGCACACTGTGCCCTTGTTGGATGACAACGGTGCATTGATTTGGGACTCTCATGCCATATGCTGCTATCTGGTGGATAAGTATGGCAAGTCGGATGAGCTGTATCCGAAGGAGCTGGTGAAGAGGGCGCATTTGGAGCAGCGTCTATATTTCGATGCCAGTGTGCTCTTCATGTCTCTGAGAAACATATGTGTGCCATACTTCTATAAGCAGGTATCTGAGGTGCCCCAGGAGAAGATCGACAACATTATCGATGGCTATACTCATCTGGAGAAGTTCCTGGCTGACAAGCCCTATGTGACCGGTGATACCTTGACCATTGCCGATTTCTGCTGTGCGGCAACGGCCTCCTCGTTGCCCGCCATGCTACCTATCGATCCGGAGAAGTATCCAAAGATTATTGCCTGGCTGGCACGTCTAAGTGAGCTGCCCTATTATCAGGAGGCCAATAACGAGGGTGCTGAAAAGTACATCAACATCCTAAAAGACGTTTTTACAATTGTCTAAATTGATCATTATTGCATACATACAAACAACTGTCCCCACATATGTATTTTATATGGCACTTATATATATCTAATAAATTATCGATAACAATGCGTTGCTTAGCTTGTTATCGTTTACAACTGGCCGCTTTGTTGTGCAGCACTAACCTTGCGCTGTCTGGCAGCACTGCGCCGCTATACAGTGCAGACGTTAAAATTGAAAGCAGTTGCACTAACTTTGCGCTGTCTGGCAGCACTCATGCGCAGACGTTACAATTTGAATAAGGTTCGCGCACGCTGAAAACGTTTTGAGGCCTACGACATTATGCAAGCTGATCGAAAATGGATTGTGGCTTATTTAAATGAGGCAATAACAAATGGAAAGCGATTGACAGTGTGCGAAATTATGTCAATTGTCAACTTGCGACGCTTCATTAATGCGAACAGCACGTACCTGTGGCCCCCTGATAACGATTTATTGTATTTACATGTGGCTCAATAAATTTTCACCACGTACTTACTGATGGCGCCATTTAAACTACAAAATCGTCTTAATTGAGCTGTAAATAAATATTGATTAAGTTGAAAAATATTTTCATTCGCATTTTCGCCAAAGAAATTTTTATCTCTTCTTACCATATGCAGAACCTTGACCCAGTTTAAAGCCGAAACCCAACTGGCAGACTTCTAGACTCACTTTCATAAACGCATCGGAAGCTGCCGCATCTGTGCAAAACATGTTCTTGGCCAATTGGACAACTGGCCAAACGCCTTGATGACCAAGTGGATTGGAAAACCGCATAGGTTGTACGCACTGTCGCATTCGATTCGCATGGAAAGTTGAACAAGGCCAGGCCAAGAACCAAGTAACAAAGTGAAACTAATTTGATCTTCGAGCGGTTTTTTGGCGCCGCGACCCACATCTTTGGAGAACTATGACTCACAGCACTTCCTAGCACGCCCAGCCAGAGCATACCTCATGTCTGTCTGTCTGTCTGTTTTTTTGTTGGCCAAGAGGAAATCAAATACACATAGTTAAAGCCAAAGGCAGGCAGCCAATCTATGCCTTGGTCAAGTCCATGTCTTTCATACTGGTTTGTCGCTTTTTGGCTTTTGGGTAGCGTCTGCCAATGTCTCGACCGACCGACCGACCGACCGTCCGCCCGCGTCGTTCCATCGGGTAGTCGTGCATTGTCGTGGCGGCTTTTTATCGTTTCGCTCAGCCGTTGGCCGTTTTAGTTGAATTTGAAACGTTTGCGCGCGCGGTTGCTGCCACTCGCTGTGTCTAGCTAATCAAAACGTTTACAGTTAAGGACACAAAGAAAAACGTGCGTTGGCGTGCTCGTAACAAAAAAAAAAAAAAAGTGACAACAAATCGTGTCAAGAATTTCATGAGCCAAAACCAAGACCCTACTGTGCCCGCGTCTGCATTTGGGTCAAGGAGCAGCCGAACGTTCCACTAAGATCTTCCGATAAGGCAACGACTTATGTAAGCAGCCAGAGTGCAGGCAGCCAAATAAACTACACACGACACACAAAACAATTTGCTAACAAACCGACTTTCTACACTAAATTGTATTTTGTTTCAATTTGATTGATTTCTGCGGCTTGATATCAGCGGCAATTTTCACATGCGCATCACGCAGCGAGACTGACTATATATATATATATATATTTGTGTGTGGACATCACTTGCACTTTCCTTTGCCCAATTGCCTTTCCCAAAAAATGTGTTTGTTTTTATTTCTAATTAAATATGCAGCGCCAGACGCGAGCGCGCGCGGATGTGGCAATGCAATAAAACAAAAGACTTAGGACACGAACTTGCCTGACAAGCCAGCAATATGCATGCTCATTGCTCTTCTTTTTATAAGTTGATCAATTTTAATTTCCATAAAGTTGTTTTTTTTTTTTGTTTTTGCCTGCACTCAACCTGTTAACCCAAATTTCAATTTCATTTTCGATTTTGTCGCCGAGAATCGACTCGTTTTATTGTTGTTTTGATTGTTGTCGCTGCATTAAATTGCCTGCTGATTGCATTTCTGTGTAACAGGAAACAAAATATGTTCGTATATGTCGCTTCAGTTGCAATTAACGCTTGCGCTAATTCGCCATAAGCTGCAAATCTTTTCACTCTTCGTTCGCCGCTCGGCTGCATGCCAGACAGACATCTGTTGCGTGCCTCTGTTTGTTGCCGGAGGCGTTGCTCTGATTTGCTATATAGAAATCAAAAACTATCCTTAACAAGTTCACTGCCACGGGCCGGCGCGTCTGTCATTGTCAACGTGTGGCAGTCGAGTGCGACCAGCCATACCCTGTACTTATTGAAAGTGCTTGAAAGGGAGTATTCATATGTTGTGTGAATCTATATATAAGACTGCAGCTGGCATTATCTTGTCTCGAACAGATCGTTAAACTGTTACTTCCTGGCATCTATTCGTGTGCATCAGAGCTGGAATGCCAAGTTTCAATTCTTCTCATAAGTGAAGCAATTGAAATGGGTTTCCAGAAGCGCCAGTTCCCAGGCATAAAAAGTTTGCAAATATCTCGGCCTTTGTGGGCAATTGGAAATTTTGAATAGAGTTTAAACTCCTTCTACTTCTAGAAACTATGTGCAATGATTGATATATCTTAACAGATAATATATGACAAGCCAAGAACTTAAACCAAATTTTTGTTAATAGATTTGAAAAACTAGCTGCACAAGCTGAACTTAAAGACACAGCATGCTGGTTCAAACCCTAAACTCTCAAACCCTCATTTTGTTTATATTTGCAGCTCTAATTTTTGGCTTAAGCCTTATCCTTAACATGGCCGCATTTACTTTTTGGGTTAATAGATTCACATTCACAAGTAGAACTTACAGGTTCGAACCTTGTACAGATTCACAAGTAGAACTTACAGGTTCGAACCCTAAGTCGTAACATGGACGATTTCGTTTGACAAGCCAAGAATTGAACCAAAAGCTGTATTAGTATATGCAGTTTCAGGAGTTGAACTCAGGTAGAGCGCTGGTTCAAACCCTAAGATAAAGCATGAACCATTTTTGTTTGAGGCATGCAGCTTTGATTTTTTGTAAAAACTCGAATTTGAAAGCCATATTTATGCGCCAGAAAACAGGTGCAGGGTATCTGTTAGTCATGCACTCTCGCCTGAAGCACTCTTACTTATTTCATAGACACCGCATGACACAAAACGAATTCTTGAGCAGTGAAATTAAAATGCGCCCAGCAATTGCAGTTTCCGATTCTGACCCAGTTTCTCTTTCAGGCTCAGATGTTGCACCTGCTGCATTGCCAGCTAATTATGGTCTAAATGTTTGAACAGCCCCGACACGCCCCCCTGTCATTGCGCCTGTCATGTTATCTGTCTGTCTTTTCTTTTTGTGTTTCAAATGCAAATTCAATTTTTGGTTTTTCTTCTACATTTTTTTTGTTGGGGTGAAACTTTTGAGACTAGAGAAAAACCCTTGCAGCGGCC